TGTTTATTTTGCAATCCCTAAGCGCTTGGCTGCGCACGCGCCTTAAAAATTAAGTCATGTTATGCCATCTACGATAGAATCTGCCACCGTTTTGTGTGCAGAGTTTGCCGAAAGCAGCGTTGCTTTGACTGGTTGAGCGCACACTTTCGGGGTTCTGTCAGTTACGCCGTCACCATACATGATCGTGTCAAGAGCGACCGCGGTTTCGTCCACAGCGGTTGTAGCAAGGACAATCACACGCACTGTAGAAGACAGTGCGTGCGCCGGTCGCACGCGTACTTCCGAAGCTCCGAGTACGCTGCTCTCGGTCTTCGTTCGACGGTTTCCGTACTAAATTTCGTATCACCCGCCTCGATTCCAGTGCTTTCGTCGGAATGAACATAGATAATCCAATTGCAACATGTGACCGATCTTTGCAACTCCGCTCGTACTAGACAGGTTCTTAAAATTTTTGAAGCAGTGACTTTGTGACGCAATAAACTTCTTTAATGAATCCATTCCATGGGTACTTAAAAGAAGTGTTGCAGGGCCCCTTTAAGAGAAGATGCTACTCGAAGGCACTTTTTTTTTATTATTCACCCTAGAGCAATGAAACTTGAGCCATTTATGGAACTTTTTATGCCGATTTCAAATATATAATTAGTTTTCTTGCAAGTTGCACACTTATAGCTCTGCAACATGACAAAGTGAAAACCTTAACCTTTTGCCCCCTTCTTTCCATCCCTAAGCTTCTGTAATTTTTTACTATTCATAGTTCATAATGTTTCAAATAAAGTGTAGAATGCAAATAACTAATTAGGAAGCACATACAAAATGTGTAATACACGAGAAAAATAATAGATGTAAAAGTCCATATTTCACCTACCCTAGTAAAGGTTTACATACAATATTTTTGTTATGCAATAAAATATTGAAATTTAAACTAGATAATTGCATTTGTCATACTTTGAAAAAATTTTGGGCAAAATTTTATGCAGATCCGAGTACTAGAAGTGCCCAAAAAAGGAGGGGCACATTAAAAAAAATGGAAAAATTTGTGTTTTGAGAAAAATGAGTTTTAAAGTTAAAAGTGAGTTTTTATTTATGAAAGATATCATTAAATCTGATGAAATTTGCAGACCAAAAAGAACAATCATTCTTGTAGTGGCCACTGCAACTAAAATACGGCAGCACCATGAGTTTGTCCCTCTCAGATTTTTTGAGCTGACTCCTCACAGACATTTCGCTAACAGACAGGCCCATGAAACGCTTGCCAAACTTCCGCTCCATCTGGCAGAGCCTTGTGCCAACTGCGAGCTAAGAAGAAGTTCGACAGGACTGCGAAATCCAGACTAAGTCCAGTGTCATGCCATTTTGCGGCCATGTTTGTGCCACATACCGTCGTACATAATGGCAATGTCGTCCCGTCTAAGTTCTCTCACTGCGAGCTCTTTCGACCTCACAAGATTGGCACTGACATCATCCATTGCCGCATCACGGACTGTCCGGCTGACGGGTGTGAATGATTTTTGACGCATTGGCTTTTGCAATCCAACAAATGAACTGCTGCAAATCGAACCAGCTGCTTGTAGCTTATTCCTACAGAGCACGCCGCACAATGGCTTTCACTTGCGAGCAGTGCCTTTATTCATTCATAACAGAGACAATTACACGAGAAAAGCATTGTTCAGCTGTGGTGCTTGACAAGACATGGACCCCGCAAATAGGTTTCACAGCACATACAGGCGCGCAGCGGCCAATGGCGGTCCCCGGTTTTACCATGTGATAAGCCAGTTGCGGCGCTTGAAAAACACGCAGAACAGTGCTTCTTTTTATTATTTCTTGCGCTGCATCAGCGAGAGAAACTGTTGTTATTTGAAGAGTGAGGCTTCGACTCATTCGACCAATAATGGCGAGCGGAAGTGCGTTATCGGCGGCAAGGTGCTTGAAGACTGCACACTTTGGATTTTTTAACAGGCACCTTGTGCTCTTTAGATGCAATTTTAAAGCATTTCCAGTTAAGTCTCGGCCTGCATTATTTTTTTTTTCATAACAGTAGAGGTACTAATCTTATCAAAACAGGCGAAAATAAAAAATCAGTAATTTAAAAAAAAACTCACGTTTTTCGACCCGCATCACTCCTTAAGTAAACATATTACCCTCAATTTGATTCATCATTTTATTTTAAGTTTAATTACTTGTTATATCAGCTTATATGTTCCATGTATAATAAATTTTAAAATATCACATATTTTTTACAGGTTGTCACGTCCTACCAGTCAAATTCTGCTACTCTTTAAAGTTGTTTCGATTTCCATCGAACAAAAAAAAAAGAAATAATGGCATTTGTACACAGGCCTTATTTAAATTATATATATATATATATATATATATATATATATATATATATATATATATATATATATATAATGGGAGTAATAATTCAATGGGCCAGTTAGTCTTCGTGAAGGTATGGGATATGGCACAACGGGAGCGTTGTCAACAAGGACTTCGTTGCTGCTGCGTCCCTCTCGCCTTGAAACATGTTTGCGAGAGTGAGAGGGAAGTAAAAAAACAAAAAGACTAAAAAAACAAAAAAAGAGGAGAAAAAAAGAAATAAAAGAAAGAAAGTTCTTCCTCTTTTTTACTTTCTTTTTTCTTTCTTTTTTTCTCCCCCTTTTTGTTTTTTTTTTGTTTTTTTCTTTCTTTTTTAGTTCCCTCTCACTCTCGCAAACATGTTTCAAGGCGAGAGGGACGCCGCAGCAACGAAGTTTGGAAATTCATGTCAGTATAACTCATCCCCTGATGAAGGGAGGACCCCTCCCGAAACTGTTGGGAAATAAATATATTTATCCTTGTTGACAACGCTCCCGTTGTGCCATAACCCATACTTATATATATATATATATATATATATTGTGCAGGTTAGGTCATGATAACTATGCCCAATATAATTTATACGTCATATATACTATTTAAATTAAATTCAAAATTATTCTACCAAAATCGCCATTCACTTCTAATCTAAAATGCCCTAATCGCACAAGCCTACTTCGAAGCAAAATCTTGGAGTATGTTGTAGCTCGCCCTTTAGTACCTGGGAGCCCCCTGGAACAGGTAATTTCAGATTCTGAAGTAAACTGGAGAATCAAGTAGCATTTATACTCAGGCATTAGAATAATTCAGAACTCTTGCGATGAGCTACATAAATCTCTATACCCCTTGCAAATCCTGGAGAGAAAATGCTACCAAGGGCTATCATTATTTCACTCAAAATACTCAAAAACATGGACGTCATGCAATTGAACGTGAAATAACTTCCGAAGGCATTTTTTTTCTGCAAAAGCAAATGAACAGCATACTGATTATCTATTATGAAATAACACCCTAGATACAACTACACGATCATTAAAGTGGAGGGTTCTTAGGAGAAATTTAGAGCTTTTGTGTAAATAACATGTTTCACTTTGAGTCAGCAGTACTTCCAACCGAAATCCACAGCACAGAACAATGTCCCAATGCTGGCATTAGTTTTATATTTAAAATAAGATTAGGGGGTGTGGCCCCCTTGCCAACACCCATGCTTTAATACTGATAACTAACACAGTCCCTTCTTAAGCATTCTATGACAGCAGCAGCAGTCCTCTTTTCCTTTTCAGTTGATTGTATTAATGCCTTTTACTGATTATTAAACACTCCCTCAATTACATGGAATTACACGCCATGCAGTGCTTGACATGAACTACTAGCCCCGTTTCTATTATGAACAATGTCAGCTGATGAATCATCGCCAGCCACACTTGATTGGCACCAATAGCCTAGAAATCACGAGCTTCTGCGGAGAGCACATTTTGTCATCAAGGCAATTCGCACAACAAAAGCTGCGATGGCATCGTGAATGGTTTAAAGGAGCACTGACATCAAATTTACTCATGTCAAGATTTTTGCGTCGAGTAGCTATCGATCCCCTAGTAGCGATTCGCGACCTAAAACGCATCTGAGTGACGAATGAGTATCTGTAATATTGATTAATATATTCGCTATCGAACGCGGTTCAAAATGGGTGGAAAGCCCGCCAAATTGTAGTGCTGGCAGCGCTACCTTGCGGCCACGTCGAGGCCGCTACACAGCTGACGCCACTTTCACAAAATGTTTACGTCACACGAACGTTTCGTCTGCTAGGAGCGCACGTACAGTCAGTCCAGCTGTGTCTCTGAAGGCATATACATGCCTCTGTTGCCAACATTGTAGTCCTCGCCGTCGTCGCGGTCAACATCGGCCTGGAATTGAGTATCGGCCTGGTATTGAGTAATGATGACATCGACCTGGAATTGGGTATCGCCGCCATTCGCGACGATCCTTGCTTGACAAGCTCCGCGTTAAATCGATGTACTTATCAGTCCCAGCCGTACTGTCGGAGCTCAGGAACACCAACTGCGCACCTCATGTCACGAACATTTGGCGAGTGAATTGCTGCTTTCATCTGCAGCAGGGCACACGGTAGGAATAGCCTCGGCCTCGAGAAGAGGCCTCATACTACCAGTGAAACCCAACTGGTTCGACAACCCAGGATTACCCTGTAGCAGCTCGCCGTAGAGTGAAGGGAGCAAATGCGGCCGCTTTTCACAGGCGACACTTCGGCGTCGCGATCCGCGTGCGTTCGTTACAGGAAAAACCAAGAAGTTCTTCAGGCTACCAAAAATATTCGTCGCGCATTTCGCGAGCCAAAACAGGAAAAACCGTCATGTGAAATTTTCACTGTTATAAATCTGTAACTCCCGTGACTTTTTTTTTTCGCGTAGTAAGCCCTTCCCCCAAATTGGCCTCAACTTTTCTATGCAAGTAAAGTCAGTAAATAACACCTACAGGTCTGAGTGAGCTGCAAGTTTACTTTATGCAGATGAGTGCCATAAAATTGAGCAACTAGAATGTCAACAAAGAACACACAAAAGGAGGCACTTGTGAATTCACTCTAAAGGCACCATGTTATTGCACAGTGACGATAATGAAGTCGAACCCACCTGGACTTCAAACTTGGCAGTGACTTTCTCTTCCTTCTGTACTTGGCGCAAGGTGAGAGGAGGGCCTGTGATGGTGCCTTTGCAGCTATTTGATAGATCCACTGTGTAGACGGGCAGGCCTGTCTGACGAGGTGCCTGAAACTGGAACAGGTGAAACAAATCTGCAGGCTCCACTTGTGGTGATGAACTGCTCAGTGCTTGCCGCTGGCAAGACAAACTTCTGATCACACTGCAACATGGCTCACGAGGTCACAGCGTACAAATTCAAGTCAAAGTGCTCATTCATGTTAGGTTGACATCCTTGAGTCCCCTCTTTATTGAACAAAGCTTTCAATGCAGGCTAGCTAGTACATCATGACTTTTTTGAAGGAAACATACATATGAATAGCAAGAAATGGTGTAAAAGATTAGAAGTTTGCAGTTAGATAATCTATCTCTAGTTGATGCAATACGACCGAAGGCCTCGTGACACACGTGTCGCCATACTTGAGGATATGAAGAGCCTCAGCAACTTCTCTCACTGTCCTATCTCTGTGCCGGGACAACACCTGGGTTTCGCAAAGTAAAGGGTGACACTTGCAATCTCTGCAATGTAGGCACAGATTCCACGAAGGGTGGACCTTCAGCGATGCCCTGTGATCCATTAGACGGTTATTCAAACACCTTTTCATTTAGTGCCAAGTAACAATGTTAATATGCACTAAAATTGTGCCGTACATAGGCCTTTAGCATTTTTACCACTACAGAAGTCTATAATTTAAATTTCCTATGGCATTGCTTGATGTTAATGGACTTACCTTGCAAATCACAACAAACTTGGGTTCACAGGTATAGTTTCCTGCCATATCAAGCACAGACAAGTCGAAAGATGGCGTAGCACCATTTTCAAATGACAGCTGGTCTTCACTTGCAGGAAGAACCTGCAGTTCATAGGCTGGCCCTGCAAAAATCACATTGAACACACATATGCATGCATGTAACATATTGTAGTAGAGACCACTCATAACTAGAGACCAGATTATAGGTAAATGCCGATTTTGTTTCTTGCGTTCCTATCACGCCACTTTGACATGTGAGCATGCATTAGAGGTTAAGAACAGCTTTTATAGTGCTTTTATAGTGCCTATAAATGCCTACTTTGGACTTTTGTGCCTAAATTCCTATAAGTGCCTATTTTCAAAATTGGTGCCAATATGAGCACTATTTAACCTTAAATTTTGTTATCGAGTACAGTTGGAGACCGATATTCATGTTACCAGGCAAAACCGAGCTTTCCAAGCTCTGTGGGGTGCACTGGGTTAGAGTGCCTCGAGCGTGTGGCGGAGGCGAACAAGCGCATCTAGGCACGTTAGACACAAGCGCCATCTGACAGTTATCTTCGAAAACGAAGGCGTGCGCGACCACGGAGAAAGCTGCGCGCCAGTCTCGGAGGTGCTAAGGTGTAGAATGCAAAGCGACGGACAGGTGCCACCACCGTGTTGTCGTAGCAAAGCGTTGGAAACACCTACTTGAGCATCGCGTTGTACTGTCAACGCAGCGCGATAAACGCTACAGTCGTTCTAGTTACTTGTGTGTGCCTCTTCTAGTATAAAGGCAGACATACAAAACATAGACCTGTCGTTATGGCGCCTCAGATATGCGCAATATTAGCTTTTTTAATTGAATATCGCACAACTATGAACGCTAAACCTTTAGCAATGTTGGTGGGTGCTGCGGATGAGGATGGCCGTTTGAGGTATTGTTAGGGCGGAAAAGAGACAAATGTGCAGGCAGACACACAGACCAAAATTTTTCTGTCGAAGGTCCTCAAGAAAGACTATCGTCTTTAATATTTCCTGACATTCGAGCCCACCATTTAGAATCCCCTCCAGACGGCCATGGATGGACACAGTGCTGTGTGCATAATCTTTTTTTTCTTATTTACTTTTTTTCTCTTTGTGGAAGTATGTAATTACTAGGCACACAGGTTATTCGCAAAACACCAATACTGCCCCTGCATGCAAAAGGGGCGTGAGAAGCTCACCAGGAAGTAAGCGAATCTTGAGGGTCTGCGTGTTCTCCTCAAGGCCGGGAATTTTCACCGTCAGGTTGAAGCTCTTCACATGAAACAAATGCACAAATTCACACCCAAAGGACTTATTTATAGGTGAACACACACACAAAGTAAAAAGAATAGGGAGCTCATAATGAGTATAGCCAGACCTATTTATAAGAGACACTGATGAAGGTGACAAATGGGTATATGAGACACCAGTGTGCCCACATTGAACTGGGTGTTGATTAGAAAATGCATTTGTGGTACGCTTCTCATAAAAAATACCTCATATCAAAAACAAGAATCACTCCTCGGTGCATGTCTTTGATAAAATAGTTCCACTGTCAGGAGTGCAACAGCCGAAATGGAATTTGGAGCAGTTTTTATAGCAGCAAAATGTTACTTTTGGAGCACTACAGTCAATCTTGTTATAGCGAGCCTCAGATCGGCTATTTTTTTAGATTATTGACTTTTTCGAAAATTCCCCTCCTTCCCATGGTTTTTTTTCCCTCCAATGGTTTAATGTAAAAATATTTCACTACTACGAATTTTAGAACATCAAATGTTTCAAAATAATGTGTCATATTTTATGACCCTTATATCTTCCCAACACTTCAAAATAACGAATGGCGATTTTAAAAAATTACTCACGACTGTCAAAGTAATGCCCATCTCTGTGCCGGCCACTATCATCATCATCAAAATGTCCACGAATTTCTTTATGTGCCTGCCCTATTCAAATGTGCAATAGTACTTGTTTATTGCGCCAAGCTTTGCCCCGTTGCCTTTGCCTTTCGTCGGCCAGCTTCACTCGTGCACTTGTTACACGGCTGTTTTCTAGCCTTTTGATTGGTGGTTGAGCATGACCACGAAAAGATTGCTACGACAGAATGAAAAATGCGATGCGACGTTAAGTTGCCGATGATTACCGGTGCATGATTCACTGACACTGGAGCACTACGCACAGTGAGGCGACGAAGCACGCACATGACTTAGCTGACGACTGACAAGACTGATAAAGTTTGTTGTAATAAAAAAAAATGCCCATGAGACCAAAGACGGCATTAGCACAGTGCGTGCGAACTAACATGAAGAATTCATATTTAATGCCGATGCTTCGCAGTGGGTAGGAAGGATGCGCACGCTTAAGTGTTCGTCTTTCAGCATTAGCAGCCCGCATTAAGGTAGATTGAGCTCTTCCTCAAAAAAAACATACACTGGTTCCGTAATAATTAGTGTTTGCTTGTTTTTTCACACTCACTTGAGCATGAAGCTGTTGCGAATGTATACACAGTACAGGTACGCTACTCACGTGTTTGCGTTTACGCTTTTTGCGCTAACTTCCAATTCTTTCACAATGACTTTTCAAAATAATGAATGATCTTTAGTGGTACCTTGAGATTTGATTGAGATTTCACCGTACAATATGAATTTGGAGCAGGTTAGGGGAAAAAAAAAAACATCCATTTTTTATCACGAAAGATCAAATCTGAAATAATATAAAAAAGCTTACCTTTAGAAAAAGAAAATTATGGACAAACCTACTTACTGTTCTAATGATGCATTCCACCCTCTTAAGATGCCTGCCGCTACAGAAAAAGCAACTGTCAACACAGCGAGCAAATAGCGTCTTTTGCTGATTTTTATGAAGAATATTGGACACGTTTCTTAATACGCCCTGTATATGGCACCATGGTTTAGGGTTAGGGTATGCCCACTTGGACTGATCGATGACACAAACTGCCGGCTTCAAACATGACCTCCATGATCTCACTGACCACATGATCTCACTCAAGTAGCGCAATTGAGAAATTGAGGCAGGATAGACATTTGGCGCAGTGTGGCACAATTTCAGCAAATATTATGGTTTTGGTGCAGCTCGGCGCAAAAAAGAGGAATTGTATCAAATTGGTGCAATTGCCGCAACTGTTGCACCCCTCCACTGTAAATGCATCTATCTTTTAACACTATGAAAATAGGGCAACTTACCTTTCCCGAGTTTGACTCAACAATCCCCTTGGCCACAATTCCCTTGATTATCAGTGTGTTGCCTTTGGCTTGGACACTGTCATAGGATAATTCCAGGCCACTTTTCATAGAAAGAAGCAAATACAATAGCTATGTTATCATAGCATAATGTCTAAAGAAAGAAACTTCTTTGTTCCTGTACACTACAGAATAGATGATCAGTTCTACATGTTTAAATCGAAAGTGCTGCAATGAGGATTAGTTCACCCCAAGTCCCCCGCCGAGCAACACAACGAATAACTGCCAAGAGGTAGCAATTAAGCAGCTTACTTGGCCTTGAGCTCTGGTCTGAGGTCTGGAGATGGCTTGGTTGAGTTGCCATACTTATCAAGAAAGTCCAGCGGGATCTGGAAGGGTGTGCCAACACGAAATGGGCCCTCCAAGTAACCCACATTGAACTTGTCCGGTGCAGCCTCTGCAGGGGGGCAAAGCAACAGGTATGTGAAAAATAGGGAAAAAATGCTTAACTAATACAGCCCACTGAATTCGTAATGTGAGAAGGCAACAAAGTACTGCAACCCCATCCCTGCAGACTACACAGTGCTACACTGAATTTTTCCAGACTTTCAATTCCAATTCTGTAGATAAAATTAAAAATTTTCAGCACCATACTCACTATGACATCTAGATTTTCTTTTTTCAATAAACACCATCTTTTTATCTTATTACTAGTAGATAAATTAGACTACTTTATTCTACCTTATTTATTCGTATCTAGGCTGATAAATGCTTTTTTTTTTATTTCTTTGTATCAAACTCCAGGGTCAACTTACATTCGAGGATTTTAAAAAATGCACTATTTTTCATTGAAAAAAGTGGTGCACAAATAGTGCCACTTAGATGATATAACAGCTGTTAGAAGCTGGGCAACACTTGGCTTAAGTACATATGCGAGGCCACCATTTTGATATTTGTGGCGAGTGCGGAGGCAAACGGTTTGCCGATTCGATTCGCGCTTCGAGAGACCTGTGTGTGGCATAGCTCAATAGCACCTAAGAGGAGGTGTCATTATAGTGCCCCTTATAAAAGGAAAATTGTCCTAGCCACGAAGTCGTCGCCCAACGTTCAAGCCAGGCGAGACTTTGGAGTCTACAAAAAAAAAAAGTGCATCGCTGGTGGGCTGCAGCGTGGGACGACATACCAGGAACATTGAATGTACGCTCTTTTAAGAAGTGCCGCATATTTAGTGAGATTGTTGGCACCGAGGATTGTGCACTGTTGAAGACAGCATCGAGAGAAACAGAAACGACTCAGAATGAGCACAGCGTCTTCGTGATGCAAATACAGTCAAATCTCGATAATTCGAACTCGAAGGGGCCCGAAAATTTGTTCGAATTAAAAGAAGTTCAAATTATTGAAAGCTTAATACACGGAGGGCTGTCCATGCAGTGGCGCATGTGCATTGAGCTAACACGCGAGGGGGAAGTTTCAGAAGACTTACATTTATTCACAAATCACAAGAAATTCGTCATTAATTGAAGTAATCAGTGATGTGCATCTGCACACGTTCGCCTTGCAGTGAGTCAATCAATTCCGCACGCAGCTTGTAATGCATTTCTACTTCGGCTTCAGCATTCTCCTGGCAAGAGAAGTTGTGCACGGAAATGTTTAGCGCCGACATGCCGCAGCCGCAAGATGGCCAGCACGTGACGAGAAAGAAGGAGCGTCTCCACGCAAAGAGAAGTGAATCGACATTTGAGAAAAAACCAACACTCCACGGCAGCTTTTTTTGTTTTTTGCTTTCTTCGCGTGTGTCGTTCAAAGGAGAATGGTTACGCGGCAGGGATGAGAAAGAGGGAAGCGTAGCAACGGCGCGTGAGGGACCCCCCTCCCCACCTCAAGGCGCAGAGCCGTGCTCCCGCAAGGGCTGCAGAAGATAGTGCCTTTTTCCTTTCCTTCAGCCACACATTCATTCAACCCAGCGACAGCTTTCTTTTTTTTTTCCCTCTCTCTCTTTGCGCACGGCGTTGGAAAGAGATGGGTCATTACGTGGCAGGGACGAAAAAGGGAGAAGCTTAACATGGGCGCATCACAGATCGGCATTTGAGAAAGAGCACACCTTCCACCGCACCCTTTTCTCTTTTTTTTCTTTTCCTTCGCATGCAGCGTTGAGGTGTTGCAGGTGCCGCCGCGAGATCGAGCAGGGTGCTGAGAGCATTTTGGGAGCGCAGTATGTTCGAATTAACTGTCGCAAGTGCTTGCGCGTTTGAATTACTGGGCGTTTTCGCCCATTGGAATAAACATAGCTTTGACAGGACCTCATCGTGAGTTCGAATTAACCGGAAGTTCGAATTAAGCATGTTCGAATTAATGAGATGCAATTGTAACTAGAAGGGACGCGAAAAGAAAACAAGACAACAATGCAACGCACGCAACAGGAATAGCGGCTGTATAATTGTTGAGTTATTTGCATCATGCTTTGCTGCTTTGCTTTATCTACATGTTCAATAAATGTTTTCTCTTTGTGAACGCTGTCTTTGCTGTTTTGTTCGGCCTACAATCGAGGAAAGTTTTTTTTTTTTTTTTCGGGCTTCTGACTTTAGGGAGTCAGCTCAGAATTGGGGTCGGCCTTGATCTGAGTAAATATTATAATACAATAAGCTAGCATTTTTTGGATTCTGCTTTAACCAGGTCACAACCATAGCTCCAGTTTAAAATAGCAACATATTAGCAGTGGGCTTCTTTATGTGATTCTTTGAATTTTAAGCTCCGATTCAACTTTCATTGTGCGGAAAGCCTACTCTTAAAAACTTTAAAATTCTTCATTATTAAACTGTCAATGTTTTTTTTTTCCAAACCAGATTACTAAGTGTGGCTCACGATGATTGGGAATGTATGCAATAAAACAATAATGTTCTAGATCCAGTGAACAAAAGTTACAGCATGATCAACATTTGCAAATGAATCAAATGTCAAGATAAGGTATCTCAATGTTCAATATGCAATAACTTTCTTTAAATAAATTTAGAACATCTACTTTTGTTTCCTTGAACACAGTTCTCATTTTAGATTATCATGACATGACAATTCATTTTGTAACACGCTCAGTGTCAGAATATTAACGCTCCAAAAATACAAATAATAACAACTGACGGAGCGCAACGTTATAAAACCTGTGGAGGTCCTAGCACCTCCTGTAAAGTCGTTTGCACCTCGAAGCACACGTGTTTCTTGCATAGGTCGCATTTGAGGCTCACAACTATTGAGCATGTAGGTGGCGTTGTGCTCGCAAGCGTTTATCACCACCATTATCATCATCGGCGGCAAGCCTTGGTGATGGTAGAAAAGAGAGAAGCGGTTATTTCGCGTGTGGCAGTCGGACCAAGCTGTTGTCTCTCGCGGTGGGCCCGCCAGAACGGCGCCGCTGGTCGTTGATCGCGGGCCTGCGAGTGAGTCAAGCATTGGCGACGCCGCCTTGAGTGTGTTCTTGGGTTTGTCATGTTATTGAGAGTTTATTTATTTATTTATTAGTGCAACCTACATCGCCCAAGTAGGCATTATTATAGGGGGTGAGGGAAAAAAAGCAGTATTACAGTCGAACAAAGCGCACAGTTGCGCCGTCGAAAATGGCATACATTTGCGCAGGAGCTACTGCGCATTCACAAAAAGCACAAATCTTGTAGAGACAAACAAAAAGCATCGAATGGAAGATCAACACGTGTATCCAAATTATTTCATTCGCGAATGATCAAAGGAAAAAAAGATAAGACACCAGTACAGCAGCTAACCCCGCAGATTTTTTTTTTAAGTGATCATTTCTATGTGACACATAGTGTGGGCTCATCATGTATAAACCCTTGTTAATGCGGATTTCACCACAGAATATAGAATGGAAAAACTTTAATTGCAAAAATTTCCTGTGCTGCTCAAGAGGCTTCCATCCTAAGTTATTCTTAATGCATGTAACACTGGAGTTCAAATTGTAATTATTACTGACAAAGCGCGCGGCACGGTTTTGTATGTGTTCAAGTTTATAGATTAGAGTCTGACGATGAGTATCCCACACTGTACAGGCATATTCAAGGATAGCTCGGACATTTGTAACATACAAAGCCTCTTTCAGGCTTTTTGGGGCAGATATGAAATTGCGTTTAATAAAGTTTAACACACTGTTGGCCTTGCCAGTTACAAAACCTATATGCTTATTCTAAGATAAATCGACAGACAAGTATACACCAAGGTATTTAAAATGTTCAACATGGTCAAGTTGTGCTCCTGACAAGCTGTAGGACGAGTGAAAAGGTTTTCGTTTTCTGGTAAAACTAAGGAAGCAACATTTTTTTACATTCAAACACATCTTCCATTTCTCACACCACCTTACCACACTGTCAAGATCATACTGTAAAGCACACATATCGTCCATACTGTGTATTGATCCATAAATAACACAATAATTCGCGTACAGCCTCACGTTTGATGTTAGCATCTCTGACAAGTCATTAATATGCCCAATACCGAACTCTGTGGCAGCACGGAAGTTACGCTGACGTATGAAGAAGATTAACCATTTACTCAGACGGGCTGTTTCCTAGAAAATAAATAATCCCTCAACCAACCAAGAAAAGATGCAAGCAGACCTAAAAGAGAGAATTTATGTAATAAAAGAGCATGTGAAACGGAGCATGTGAGAGTTCGCGATGGGAAGTGTTGTGTGATATTGCGCTAGGTTTAGGTTGTTCAGCATGTTGATCACGATTGATGTTATAGTAATTTGGCTAAAAATATCGTCATTCTAAAGGTAGTTAAATAAATCTGTGTTGTTCGGGTTCGTTCCGACCAAGTCTACTCTGTCTGTTCACTCCAAGAGCGTGGTGCTCACCATTTCGACACCTCCACAAACGACGATATGATTATGAGAGACTCTGTAGTAAAGAGCTCCATAAATTTTGACCACCTTCATTTCTTTACTGTGCATCTGAATCAGGCCACACGGCCCTCAAGCATTTTAGCTTTCGTCAAAAAATAAGGCCGCAGTGATAGGGATTTGATCCCACGACCTGCCAGTCAACAGTTAAAAATCGCACCCACTAGCCCATCGTGGCAGTTAATACTCACAAAAAGGCACATAAAGTCTTTTGACATTAAAAAAATTACACCCATTAGACAAATACTATTGTATAGCGCGGAATATAGGCAAAGATTTTTTTTTATTGTCATTAAAAAGTCACCTCTCGCCCTATATACCGTATTTCCTCGCTTAATCCTCGCACTCGCATAATTCTCGCACCCCCCACATCGCCCAACAAGAATACAAATTTTTTTTTTCCTCGAGTAATTATAGCACGCTCAAAAACTGCCGCAATAATGTCGTCTGCTTGTTCCAGCCACTGATGATAATAGTGCGTGTCATCTGGTGCCATCTCTTAAGCACCAATCATACTATTACTGCACGGAGATTTAATCCAATCCAAGCCAAGCCAAAGTGGCAAGTGCACGTTATGGTGTGTTTTGTATGTTGTGTTGGTAATCCTGTCGCGTTATGGGGCGATACTGAAGCTACACGGCTGCTTTCAAGTCGAAAGTGATAGATCATGCACTAAACAACGACAACAGGGCCACCGGTAGGCCCTTCGGAGTCTATGAGTTATGTGTTCGGTACTGGTGACGGCAGCTGAAAGCCACCAAGAAGCGTTGGGCCTGCCGTGCGCCTAAAACTGGCATTGATCGTAAACTTTATTTCTTCAGAAGGAAAGTGCGGACGATTCTATTAAATAGCCATCAGCCCAATACTGACGTCCTACACTTACCTTTTTAGGGCTCCTGTTGCGCGACGAATGCTACCGCTACGGCCGCAACACCCACAAGCTTTGCGTATGGTATTCTAATTCTCAACGATTTGCTTGCACTTTTAGTGTCTCAAATAAATCTTGCCTTGTGTTTAACCAGTGCTTTTCACGTTGAGGTAAGTTTTAATTAGTACTTCTCAAAGCTTGCTGTTAGTTGCTGGAGTGAGAATCCCGATTTGCGACCACTTCGTTTTCTTTTTTGCACTGTACGTTTTCGTAGAAAGTTTTCTCCGCGTAATTCGAGCACCCCGAACTTTGCATCGGTTTTCCGCCAAAAAAAGTGCGAGGATTATGCGAGTAAATACGGTACCGGCCCTTGGCATAAACTGAGTGATTGTCTGGCAACAGGGAGCATTGCATGCTTTTTGGCCATCAGCATCGACATCGCCTATATGGGCCGACACCCGGTACATTCTCTGCCGATGCCATTTTTCTTTTCTTGTTTATTCAGTGTACCTAACGAGTGGCAACCTTGCTCTGCGGCCAGCTATGAATACTGGGACGCATTGCCATTTCACCGCCGCATTTAAGAGAAAAGCCTCAGGCACTGGTGCAACGAAATATCCAAACTGTCGGCATGTAACGTGCAGAAGGCGTAGTTTCGCGGTCGTCAAGCTGTGCCCTCGGAACTCGAGGTCAAAGTGGCGGATTTTATCGGCGAGTACTGTGCCAGGTCCCTGCCAGTGAATGTAGATATCATTCGCACAAAAGCCGTCGAGCTTGCCCGTGAAGCTGGTCTAACGAGAAAAAAATTTCAAGGGGTCCATTTATTGGGTCAGCCGTTTCATGCGATGCAAGGGAATTGCCCTTCAATGGCACTCGTCAATCTGCCAGAAGCTGCCCGAGGTATACAAGGACAAGTTCGTAGAGTTTCAAATCTACGTGAATACCCTCCGATGGCAGCATGGCTACATGTTATGCCAGATTGGCAACACCAATGAAACGCCGGTGCGGTTTGGTATCGACCAGAAGCAAGCATTCGCGCTTCACCGGAATGTTTTCCTGCACCGCTGACCGCAAAGTTCCCCTGCTCATCATCTTTAAGCGGAGGACGTTGCCGAAGGAGGCCTCCCTATGGAATGTCGTCGTCCGCGTGAACGAAAAGGGGTACACGGACGAAGCATTAATGCTCGAGTGGATCCGCACAGTGTGGAACCGGTGGCCCAGAGCCCTCCTGAAGCACCAGGACATGCTTGTGTTAGATGCATTTCGCAAGAGTTGATGCATCAGTAAAGGAGATGCTTCGCGACGAGAAGACCGATCTTGTCGTCACTTCGGGAGGGACGACGTCAGCCCTACAACCGCTGGACGTCGTCCTTAAGAAGCTTCTTAAGGACGACGTCAGCACTTCCTTAAGAAGCTTTTTAAGGCCATGTACGTGTGTAATACACTGAATGAATGGCTGGCGAAAACCTGCGGGCCCTGACAGGCTGGCTGCGCAGGCCATCTCTCGCGACAGTTTGTGGTTGGGTGTCCGGGGCATGGAGGTCTCTGCCTGAATAAATGGTGGTGCGCACATTTAAGAAGTGCTGCATCAGCAATGCTCTCAACGGCACAGAGGACGACATGTTACAGGAGGCATCTAGTGAAAAGCAGATGCCCTCAGAAGAGAGCTCCAACAGCTCGGAGGACTGAATTAAGTGAATCAGTGAAACATTCCGCGTTTTTCTTCTTTTGCTAGTCAAGTTAAATGGGTCGACCTATACTCCGTCTAGACTTTTATTCCGCATTATACGGTAGTTGCATATTTGAAATCAGCACATAAATCCTCATAAACTAAGAAGGTTTCAGAAAAACTGGTCGAAAATTCTAAAAGATAGTTGTAACACCCGACTTTTAAGGAGGGACGAGGGTCTTAATATAGCAAAGAAATGTAAGAAATGGTTACTTGCGAAAATTGCATTTTGAGGTATCTATAATCGAAAGCATGCTCTGGAAAAATTTTATATGGTGACAAAATACCATTTCTTTCTGTTAAAAACTTAATGTATGAAATTACAAATGGTTTTAAAACTAGAAACCCAATTTTTTCGGCATTGTTCTTTTTTTGTAAAGTGAATCTTCTGTTAAGATATCTAAACAAACTTGGTACTATTCTTTTTTGCAGCTCTTGAACTACAGGCTAAAACTTTTCTTTCCCTCTCAACCTTGATGAAATAGTAATTATAGGATAAATACCAGCTAATTTCTGGAAGCTCATTTTTACCTTCCAAGTTTAAAAATTATTTCTAATCAAAGAAATTGCCGTTTTGACATGTACAGTCGCCGACCGATTTTCCGGACTCCAAAAATTCAGACTTGTTGGATATTCCGGACTTCATAAATGCACCATCAGGGATCCCATAGAGCTAATGCATTGTTTCGACCGATTTTTCGAGCGAATTTGCCCCTGAAAGTTCGATTTTTCGGACTAAATCGCTCGTTTTGTGCTACGCCCCAAGCCATTGTGAACGCCGCCATGTTGGATTTTCCGTCGGCTTGGCTAAGCTTGGTCTTCAGATGCCTTTCCTGCCTCCGAGACTGGAATGCGCACGCCATATTTTAAGTTTCGGAGGCCGTGTTTGCTTTTTAAAAGACGCGGTGATGGATGCCGTTTTTTCGTCTTCGGTCAGCACTATCGTCATCACATCGCACGGGGAGGAGGCGAAAGAAGGATTCTGTTATTGTCGTTGCAGCTTTTTTCAGTCGCCATTCTGCACGTGTTGTGTCGCGTAGCGTCGAGACGTTGTGTGCTTCGCAGCGGCTATCTGCGGCATCGAATTTTGTGTTCTCGGTGCCATGGCTCCGCTATCTGTGCCATCGCGGGAGCCAGGTGGTGTGAAGAAGCGTGGGAAGTATACGACCCTGACGATGGAGAAGAAAGCTGCCATAATCAAGCTTATAGAGAGTGGACGTTCGCAGCTAGATGTCGCCGGATGACGGTCGACGCCAAATGGCGGTCGTCGTTGTCGTCGGATGACGACAACGACGACCGCCCGCAGCCGTCGGCGGCGGAGATCGCCAACGCGGTGACAATTTTGTCGAGCGTTTACGGCGACGATGTCTCCTTGGCGCAAATACGGGCAAACCAAATTGCCTCCAAGCGTAGTTTGAGGCAAGGCAGCATCAAGGACTTTTTTAAACCTGCCTGATGCAATAAACTTCAGATTTTTGGCGAAAACGAATTTTTCGGACTGTTCGATTTTTCGTACTTTTTTTCGGTCCCCGCCAGGTCCGAAAAATCGGTCGGCGACTGTAGTTTGCTTTAGCATGTGAGATTAACCTATTAGAAGAATTATGTAGTTTCAAAAACTGACTTTTTATTGCCTTTCTTTATTGCGAGTTACCATAACCACCCATAAGAAAATACCTAAATATAATGGGGAAATCTGTCATTACTTTTTTTCTAAATGAGATATACGAAATCTGTCCGCAGATTTAAAATCTCGATGCAATGGTATGCATAAGTGGTAATTTTCTTGACAGTACGATAATAACTAAAAAGCTCTTTTTAGGAACCTAGTCCCCCATCAAAACCTGAAAAAAAATTCAGCTAATGAAAGGTTGAAGAGCAGTTTTTGTTTTTTATCGCAGCTAGGCAAAACACAGACTTTACCTGTCACTGTGAACCGAATCTTAAACGATGGCAACTCCTTGCCAGATGTCATAGCTGTGGTAGAGTCGCTTAACATGGCTTGAAGGGTGAGTGTGTGGGCCCCCAAATTCTGAATGTTCTCTGCAAAGAAAAAGTAAGAGGCACTTTGCACAGGAGACCACACCAGTCAGAACGACAAGAACAAATTACCTACATAATGCTAAGCTTCAATTCAAAATGTTTATACCTGCAGCCTATTATTAAAAAAAAAGAACAGCCTTGAAAAAAAAAAAAAAACAGTCAGACTGCTTACATGCAAAGTTTAGCATTTTTCGGGCACCCTGTTTTTTTGGACTCTGCCATGGTACTGTCATGTGATTCATAGAGTCAATGTATAACATTGACAAATATTTTTGATGTTTGACACCCTCTGTGTTTGATTTCCAAGGCTTTTTCTTTCAAGCACCAGTCAAAAGCTTCTAAGAATCCGCAAAAGACAAACATCGCTGCCAGTTTGTTTTTCTGCAGCTTAGAACATGCGTTGCATGCATACCATAACCTGATCTAGTCAACTGCCTCATCACATCACTGGTAATCATCGGCAACTTCATCCCATAGGTCACTCGCGTCGCACTTTTCGCTGTCGTAGCATTCCTTTCGTGCTGCTTCCTGAGCTCATCTTGAACAAGCAATTGCCAACCAAAAAGCTAGAAAAGAGCCGTGTAACAAGCGTGCAGGTCAAGCTGCCTGACCGAAACAAATGCAACTGGGCGAAGCCTTACGCGAAAACCCGAACAAAAAACAAGTGCTATCGCACATTTGAGAGGGCTATCGCACATTTGATAAGATGAGCCCACAGAAAAATAAGCAGGTGTTCTGATAATGATGATAGTGCCAGCTCCAGAGCTGGGCACTACTTTTTTAGCTGCGAGTCATTTTTTAAAATCACTATTCTTTATTTTGAAGTGCTGTGGAGATATTAAGGGGATAAAATTAGATACATTAGTCTGAAACATTTGGCATTTTGAAATTCGAAATAGTGAAATATCTTTAGATTCATGAAACGGTCATTTCGATGTGAATTTTCAAAAAGTCATTGATCTGGAAAAATCGTTTCTGAGGTTCACTCTAACTAGATTTGAGTGCATATTGCACATGTTTTTGTACGCATACCAAGCGTTGTACATCAATTAAACTTTTTCGCTATGATAAGAAGGTCTCATTTGTCCAAAAAATATGTGTTTTCTGGATAAATATGAAAAAATTATTAACTTGGGTCGCACAAGGATATAATTGTTGCCAACCTAAAGTAAGCAATTAGTACGAGCGGAGTATTCTAAGCCTTCTCACTGTGGAGTAATCTGAGCCACTAATCGTCCAGAACCATAAAAGTTAAGTGGCACAAAAACTGTTATTGTCCAAAGTGAAAACTATGCAACATTAGTACTATGGGACTGATTACATATTTGAAATTGGCATAAAAACGTATGTAAAGGGCAAAAATTTCACTGCTTGAAGCCTCTCTTGCTCTCTGCTTTTAATTGAAAACACTCAGTATATTTTAAAGCTTTAGTGAAAGACTGTGCATGTCGCAGATTCATACCAGCCAAACCAGGGACTTTTGTTCAAATAAGGACCGCATGGGCATCCCTTTACTTTGGTGTGTCACATAAACTCATGTCAACCGTTTTAGTTTCACTCAAGTTTTCTTTTTTTTTCAGAAGTTGGGTTGAAACATTACATTTATGGCCACAATCAGGAAGACTGGTCCGAAATTTGCAGTCTCCCGGACAAATCCAGAGACTTCTTCACAGGTGTTCAAATTATGGTAAATGGAGTAAAAAAAAATGGAAACAATTCATCAAGACAGGTTGGCAGCAGTCTCGGCACCCACGTCTAATGGGCAGATGGTTCACGAATGTGCAGGCAAAGCAGCAACTCACCCATCCTGCGAAACCAATAGCCCCAATTCTTGTTGTGAGGAGAGACGTACTGCGCGACCACCTTATCACCAGATGCAGCTGCACAGAATGAAACAAATGGCATATGAAGCAACATAATGAGCAGGCATGTATGTGTAAATAATAAACTTAAGGTCTTAAGCAAATTTGAAGCTAACAGTGATTTGGTCAAATTATTTCGAAACAATTTGAATAGTACAGTAGACTCTCAGTAAATGCAAATGTATTAAACGAAACTGCTGCTTAAGGGGAGATGTGGGTCTAAAACGCGAGTTTTTTTCTTTTTTTTTTTTCCAAAATTACCGATTTTTGTTTTCACCTGGTTTGATAAAATGTGTACCTCTACTGTTCTGGAAAAAAAAATAATACATGTGAAGACTCGACTGGAAATGTTTTAAAATTGCATCTAAAGAGCACAAGGTGCCTGTTAAAAGGCCCAGAGCGTGCAGTCTTCGAGCAGCTTGCCGCCAATAATGCACTGCCACGCGCCATTGTCGATCACACGAGGCAAAGAGTCGAGCCTCACTCTTCAAATAATGACAGTTTCTCTCGCTTACGCAGCGCAAGAAATACCGTAATTACTCGAATCTAATGCGCACCTTTTTTCCGGTTAAGAGTGTTCATAAATTGCATGTGCATTACAAGCGAGTACGAAAAAAAAAAATGAATACGGTCATTGTATTGCCATTGGCATTTCCAAAATGGCCGCCCCCTACGTGCGTCGGCATGGAGCGTCGGCCATTTCTGCCTATGTGTTTCCCGTGTGTGGCTCTTCGTACGTGTGCTGAAGAGTTCGTCATCTGGTAGTGCATTAGCATCTACGGCATCATAGGGCCGACTCCAAAAACTCGATGAGTGCACCACAATGCCGCTTTTAAAAGAAAAGTCATCGCGTGTGCCGAAACGGACGGAAATCAGGCCGCATCGCGGTCGTTCGGAGTTCCCGAAACGTGCGTGCGGGACTGGCGGAAACAAAAGCAGAAGATTGTCGACAGCAAAGCTTATTGCAAAGGCTTCAGTGGACCACAGCAGGGTCGGTTTCCGCAAATTAAAGAGCTGCTCGGCGAGTATGTGCTTGAGCAGCGAGCGGCACAGCGGCCCGTGACAGAACTGCTTCCAAGTGCGGGCTATGCAATTAGCCTCAGAAAAAGGTCTAATGCGGAGCCAGTTTAAAGCGAGCAGGTGCTGGCTAACTAACTTTATGAAGAGGAAAGGCTTTTCTCTCGGAAGGAGAACGGGCATATGCGAAAAGTTTTGCGGAGGAGTACGATAAAAAGCTTCACAGTTTTCAGAGGTTCGTCCTAAACTTGCGGCACAACAACGGCTACCTGCTTGGGCAAATCGGGAATGCCGATCAGACGCCTCTTTACTTCGACATGCCTGGCACCACAACTGGCGAGAAGAAGGGGTCGAAGAAAGTTCGCGTGCTGACATCGGGCCATGATAAAACTAGAGTGACGGCAAAGCTCCGTTGCACGTCAGATAGGCACAAGCTTCCCCCGTACCTCATATTTAAACGGAAGACACTCCCGTAAGGAGACGTTTTCGTGAGTGGTGTGATCGTGTGGGCCAACGAGAAAAATGGGTGCGCGTTGCAATCAATGTCTTACTTTTTTTTTTTTTTTCGTCGTGGAAACCGGGTGCGCGTTACAATTGAGGGCGTGGTAGAATCGAGTAAATACAGTAATAAAAACAACCATGCTTTTGTGCGTTTTTCGAGTGCCACGACTGACTTATCCCGTGATACAGGTCGGGGATCGCTATTGGCCGCTGTGCACCCATATGTGTTCTGAAGCCTACTTGCGGGGTACATGTCTTGTCAAGCAGCGCAGCTGAACAGTATTTTTCTCGTGTATTTATCTCCGTTATAAATGAAAAAAAGCCATTACTCGCGCATGAAAGCCGTTAAGATGCTGCACTCTGTGGGAATAGGTTACGAACAGCTGGTCCGATTTGCGGCAGTTGTTGGCTTGCAAAAGCCAATGCATCAAAAGTCATTCACAGCCATCAGCCAGAAAGTTTGTGATGTGGCACTGGATGATGTCAGTGCCAATCTTACAAGGTCGAAGGAGCTCACAGTGAGGAAGCTTAACGGGGACGACATTGTCATTATGTACGACGATATGTGGCACAAACGTGGTTGAAAAATAGCATCGACACTGTTGTGTCTCTCGACACTGGACTTAGTTTAGATTTCGCAGTCTTGTCGAACTTCTTCCTAGCTTGCAGTCAGCACAAAGCTCTGCCAGACGGAGGGAAGAAGTTTGACAGGCGTTTCAGGCCCTGTCTGTGAGCGAAATGTCTGTGAGGAGTCGGCTCGAAAAAGCCGAGAAAGACAAACTCATGGCGCTGGCATATTTTAGTGGCAGTGGCAACTAAAATATGTATTGTTCTTCTTAATGTGTAATTTCCTAGCATTTACAGACATCTTTCATAAATAAAAACTCAAAAAAATTTTTTTTTTCAAAACACAAAATTTGCCATTTATTTCTATGTGCCCCTCCTTTTCTGGGCACTTCTACTGCTCAGATCTGCATAAAATTTTACCCAAATTTTTTCCAAAGTATGATAAATACAATTATCTAGTTTAAATTTCAATATTTTACTTTATAATAAACAAATTTATGTAAACCTTTACACCTTTACTAGGGTAGGTGAAATATAAACTTTTTTACGTCTATTATGTTTCATGCCTATTATGTATTTTATATGTGCTTCTTAATTAGTTATTTCTATACTACAATTTATTTGAAAATTTATGAACTACAAATGGTAAAAAATTATGGAAGTTTAGGTATGAAAAGAGGGGGGCAAAAAGGTTAAGGTTTTCACTTTGTCATTCCGCAGAGCTAAATGTAAGCATTTTACAAGAAAACTAATCATATATTTGAAATCAGCATTTAAAAGTTCTATAAACAGCTGAAGTTTCATTGCTCTAGGGAGAATATTTGAAAAAAAAAAAGTGTCTTACAGTAGCATCTCTCCTTAAATAAAACAAGTGCTTACGGCAAGAACTCCTGCTAAATGAAACAATTTCCTGGTCCCTTCAGGCTTCGTTTAATGAGAGTGTACCGTATATACCACCCATAACATAAGTCCAGAGAGTCGCAAATATCCGCACTAAAACCAAAACAACCTTTTTCAAAGTGCAGCCTCGTGTGCTGGAGAATAGAAGCATGTGATGCATGGTGTTCACAACCATAAAATTTCCGAATGCTAAAAAAAATTACTATGTTCTACTATGTTCAACTACAACGTCGCCTAAACTTCAGTGCTTCTAAATAAAAAACTGACTGGTGACCTTGAAGAATATGGGTGATACTGCATATTCCTCGGACTGCAAATTTCATGCAGCAACACTTGCGCCATTTTTTTTTTAGGAGCGGAGCTCCTTATGGTGTGGCTTGTGCATCCTCCCCTTGTCGTAGTGCGTAACCTGTGGCACATACCCGCATACCAGTGGCACATACCCGCCCTCAGGCACATATCCGCATGTCCACATGTTACGAAAAACTTAGCATGGCAAACTTAACAACCGCGCAGACGGGTGTATGAACGGGTGTACGTACAGACAAACTGATGCACAGATGGAAGCAGGGATTGACAGACGCTCCGCCCCACTCATCATCATTCATTCTGTGGATGTGCTGTGACTTTCTTCACACAAAGTGAATGCCAATTACGGGGAGTTTTCACAACTCATGACAATTTGTCACACCTTTCTCGGATGCCACTTGTTTAGACACACTTCCAGATTGTTCTGTGCCCAAATTTCAGTTTGATATTTCTAGAAAACAACAGCTGTCCGACCCGTGCTTTCCCTAAAGGTTCTTGTCCGAAAAATCAGGATTTGTTCCTTTTTACCTGCCAACCTGGCAACAGAAAAATTGGTAAAACCCCTGAGCAAGAAAGGAGGTGGAGAGCGGGGATTAGATTTTTTTCTTCATTTGTAGCTGTGATGAATTTGCGTTTAACGACAAGCATAATCATGTTTTGCCGCCATAAGTCAAATCGAGGCACTGAATTGTTTTACTTCATTTTTGGCACTAAAAAAAAAAACAAAAAGCAAGAGAGATGGGGGGAGGGGGAAATCCAAAAGGCAAACATCGGCGTTGCTGTCTCATAATGGCTTGGAGTGGCCGAACAAACAAGGGTAAGGTTTCCCACTAAGGTTAGAGCCTCAATAGGGGCGCACAGATACTCCGAGAATTTTACGTCATCAAAACAACTAGAAAAAAGATCGATTTCTATCAAAATAACTTACATATGTCTTCACACGTGAATGGACGGGACAGCGCAACTGGCTGCCGCGATAGCGCGGGTCAAAGCTTTGGCTTTGCTGGCAACAAGATTCTTCAGCGAGAATGCCAAAACGCTTCTAGCCTTTTTTTCTGCGTCTTTACTGCCTTCAATTTACTGCTGCGTCATTCACGTGCCCTCAAAGCTCATAGATCGCTATCGCGTCACTGCTATCCGGGTTATGTGCGCAGCGATTCCGGCAAACAGTAATATTGATTTCTATCCACGTGCCTTCAAAACAAAGTCGTTTTATGCTATCTATGACCGCAACTGCCACAGTTTTGTCCTCAGAGTTTGCGGAAAAGCAGCGTTGCTTGTCGAGCACTGGCCGTGCGCACACTTTCAGAGTTTTGTCAATAACGTCATGACCTTACATTGCGATTGTGTCGAACGACCGCGATTTCGTCCACCGCAGTTGTGGCAATGACAAGCACACGCACTGTAGAAGACAGTGCTGGTCACACCCTGACTACCGAAGCTTCGAGCACGCTGCTCTTAAACGACCTTCGTTCGACGGTTTCGGTACTAGAGTTTATATCACACACCGCAATTAGGAAGAGTGTTCGGACCATTTGAATTTCGGCCGATACACATTAAGGGGGGACGCGGCTTTGGGATCGCGAAAAATGGCAAAAAAATTGATTTTTTGAAACTCAAGTTTTCAGTTTCTGGAACCCTTTTTCTATCTGGTTCCAAAATATCTACACTGAAAACCGCGCAGAAGTGCTTCGGAAAATTCGTTTCACCCACCTAGGTAGGAAAAATATTTCTGGAAATGGCGAGAAAACGGCGATTTTCAAAAAATAATAGCTTCGCTATGCTTGGGCCGGGAGCCGGCTTCTTGGACTCATCGGAAAGAGCATTTTTCCGTGTTTAACTTTCCCGCCTCAGCTGGCTCCTCCCTTTAACAACAAGCGAGCAAAAAGCAAATGTTCGAAGGTCGTTTTGAGGCCCTTGATTGGCCGTGGCCGCCATGTTGCCTCAGCTCGCCTCGCCATTGGCCCGATGCTCGCTCCGGGAGATCGTCGTCTGCTGCTTGTGCGTCGCGAGGACATGACTCTCGAAAATCGCCACTTCGTGACGTGTTCACGGCTTGATAATCACTTAAGATATAACTACGCTTTAGTTACGAGCAGTAAGCGGATGCGCGATCAGGTTACTACGAGCGTCAGCGCGGTCTACGAGCGCCGCGCGTCATTGAAGTCGTCTTTAGCCCTAACTCCGCCGACTGCGGGCAGGAATGACCCGCTAGCGCATTCGTGGCGACGTGTTTCCTCGCAAGCAACGAAGCTGTAAGCGGCGGCACGATCTGATTACTACGAGTGGCCGCACCGGATGCACGATCAGATTACTACGAGCGGGCGCGCGGCGGTCTACGAGTGCGGCGCGTCATCGGAGTCGGCTTTAGGCCTAACTCCGCTGACAGCGAGACTGCGGGCAGGAACGACGCGCAAGCGCACTCTTGGTGACGTGCTTCTTCGCAAGGAATGTACCACATCACTCGCTAGCTCCTCCGAATATTGTACGGGCATTTTACACATCGGCAGCGGACAACACAGTCAAGCTCGTCACCCCCCCCCCCCCCCCCTTCACTGCCAAGGATCGCTCGGAACAGCGGCTAGCTGTTTCGCGCGTCGTCATTCGAAAATGCAATGCCAAGTGCAGTGCGTGCCGATTTTTTCTCTTCGTAGTTACTCATTTCGCGGATCGTCATCGAACGCCGCCGGCAAGTGCATTATGCGCCGGCTGCTCTGTCCACGCGGCCGCGCACCCCACGGTCATATGGAGTGCCGTCAGTAAGCTTTTGTGATGCGATTCAGACGTGCTTGGAGCCGTGCTTGATATTTCCACGAACGTCTATGAATGTTCCGAGGTTAATGAATTGCTGTAGATTAGAATTTCCGCGACCGGCTGTATGATGATGCGTTTCACGGCTAGAGCGGCGAAAGAGCATGTGTGAATCAGGGGCACGAATTTTTATATGCCCGTTTCGTGTCATTAATTATACTGCTGGAAATTCCCGTGCCACCAGTCTTCTGCCCATAACTTTGTTATTTGGAAAGAAGGCATAGGCCGTCATGGTGTGATCCATTTTTCTGATGCAATAAACTTCTCTCCAAATAAAAGAAAAGTTCAGTGAATATTTGTAATCAAGTACTTAATTACGCTAATTACAACTTCATCACAAAAAAGTATGTTTAATAATTTCAGTATATGGTTTTATTCAATTACAATCTTTTCTGTCATACCTATCACACCACTCCTTCATACAAAGAACTTGGTTTGAAATTCATACTTGTTCTTTGTAACTCATGAAAAGGAGTAAATCATGAAAAGAAGTCAAATATTACAAGACAAACCTGAGATCACAATTTTTAGGTGTCTTAGAGACATAAAGAAAAGTTGAAACTTTAAACGCAGCTTGCTCAATACTGTTTTTTTTTTTTTTTTTTTTTGACATTATGCTCAGCCCCTCCACAAGGTTCAGTGAAGAAATAATTTGTTTCTCGTAAAGTATTTGTGGTATCGCTTCAAAATTTTTATGAAAGCACTGTGAGGTTATTCTTAGTGTCTGTGCCAATTTTCATCAATATCCAACGAGAAACAAAAAAGTTCATTGAAAAAAAGCCTGTCGAAAACTTTGACAGGCTTTTTCTCACAAGTGTGTTTTGGACATTGTGCATTGCTCGTGGAAAGAGTAGCACGAGAATGACTGGACCGATTTTGATTCTGTTTTTTTTCCCTGAATCCCTGAACACTGCTTGTGGGTACAGCAATCTTCAATTTCTGTTTTGTGGCCCTGTTATTTTTTTAGACGATGATTTGTCCGTGCCATTGTTTCTGACAATGTGTGTTGGCAGCCATGATGATCTCTAAAAAAAAAACGAGAACTTATTAAAAAATTTCGAGAGTGTCATACCCTGTAGCTTTCTTTTGAGTAAAGATCAACATCATTCGCAGCTTCCTGGCATGTTTTGTTGCAGCGCTAGGCTTTCCACGAGCAGACCATGTAATTGGATCGTGTAGCATTATGTAACTTGAGAACTACTGAAGCTATCATGATGAAACTGCATATTTCTCTATTCTAGACACTTATGAGTATGCATGCCAAATTTCATCGCTGTAGGTCAACAAACAAAAAAGTTTTTTTTGAAAGCCACCTCCCCCCTTAACTTGGCTGAGAAATTTCACAAATTCGTATCTGCCGCTGTTTCGCATCACTGGAATTCTACTGTACGTTTCACGAACACCTCTCAAATTCATTTATAATAAAATGCGAAAAGCCCAGAACGGACTAATCTGCATTTCTGTCTATGCGGGCAGATCTCCCACACAGATTTCGATTTCCAAGATATTTTCATGGCAACGTACGAAAGGAAGAAACGGACGAAATCCAGGAGTCTCCCGGACAATGCGGGGGACTTGGCAGGTATGCAATGATGATAACACCAATACATATCGTTCTCTCCTAGTGGCGAAATATAGCACAATGCCGGTTCTGTGCCCTCTGCAATGCATCATAGCCAATCGAGGAAGCCACGCTATTTTACTAATTATATTACTTTAATCGAAAATGAAATATTTTTCAGAAAATTTCAGCCAAGATCGCGGTCAAAATTCGTACATCTTACAGGAAAATTGAAAGAGTTGGCAGGTATGGTACCACTTACAGTGCCAGACAATCTTCATTTCCACAGAAAGACGCTTGTTCTGAGCTCCAGGTAACTTGCTGACATTCTCCCCCTTTTTGTTCTGAATTTCCACCTTGATGTCACCTGCACAAGACGACCACACGAAAATCTAAGCACACAGAAATTTGGATGTCAATAAGTAAAACATGCACCAAACTGAAAGTGAGACAATACACTACACTTAAAAAGGGCCAGTTTATGTAAGTTGGCAACCTGTGTCAGCCAAATGCCATATGGGTACAGTGTGTTAGAAGAGAGCAATAGAATGAACGAGGCGACCGTGCCTCTTCTTGACTGATTCTCGAGCGCGTGACATCAGCGGCGGTGCTGTAGTCATTTTGTACTGAAAATATCATGAGCGTCTGCATTGGGAGCGCGCGCTTCGTAGCCTGCGAAAGCATGTATCGGCTCACATTTAGCACATTTAATAAAGATGACTTGCCATAGGCAGGAACTGTTGCAGGTTCGGTTCCTGGCCACGGCAAGTTATCTTTTCACCTACTTTTCTTTTTTCACACTTACATTACAATTCGGTCTAATAACTTCCTCTGCACTTTCCTTGGCATTATTGTCTGTTAGACCTCATTAATATTGTGTGAGAACACATAAAAACAAGCCCTTAAGTATACACTTCGTTCCCTAATTAATTACCGAGGGTCTTGTACTGGCAGACTTTGTGCCTTTAGGTTGTATACCAGAGACTATTCGTCAGCTGCCATCTTGTAATAAGTTCACGTGCTACGTGACACCAAACAGGCTAATAAAGAGTGTGCTATACTCGCTGCCATGGCTACTGGCGCTGACTAACACTCCCATGTTCAATTCACATATAATCCCAATAAAGTGGCTGGGGGGATGGCCACCATGGTAGCTGAGTGGTAGAGCATCAACGTGTTAATCGAAAGTCGCAGGTTCGGTTCCTGCCCACGGCAAGTTCCTGCTCACGGCAAGGAAGGTGAATGGGAGTTGAAAAAGACTGCATTGTAACCAGTTCTGCACCATAAGCAGTTACATTATAACTGGTCTACACTGTAATGCATACAAAGGCTTGGTTTGTTGAATGTCGGCGGTCATATATGCCGAGAAGGGAGTCTGAAAACTTTGCCAAGCGAAAGCTGATCGTAAGTCTGCATACTGCCTCCCATTTCCCCCCCTTGCCCTGACTTCCGTTCTGCCAGTAAAGCAACGTCTGGAAAATTGGTGACCTCATTCGCAGCGTCCAAATTCTGCATGTGGTGCTCGCTGCAGTCCCCGATATCTTCGTCGCAAGTAATCTGCAGCTGGCACGCATGAACACGCACCTATCACATGCTTTGAAATGTTTTTTTAAATTTTTTTTTTTTTCAATTTGTGCGTGCCATATTTTTACCACGACCATGTCTCCAGTGTTTGTTGTAAAAGTAGGAGGCTTTGAAAAATGTTATATATAAGTGGACTCAGTTTCAAAGGGCAGCATAAGAAAATTGTTGGTGCACCGAAATCTAGTCGTTATAATAGATCGTTATATCTGGGATTGTTATAAATGGGTTCGACTGTATACTCATGGGCATACATATTTATTATGAACCCGTGAAATGGGGGTGCTCATTAGAGTTGTATAAATACTCTACCAAGAGACATAGTTTCTGACAAGTTGAGACAATAAAATGCTTTTTCTTGTTATTTCCACCCAATTTTAGGTCTACTGCATTCAGCGTTGTCAAGAAACATATTTCGATGCACTTGGCATTTTAGCATGACTTTTTCAGGGGGCACTTCTGATAAGCCCGACTCTTCACTAACAAACAACTGTGGCCCCTTCGAGTTCATTCTAACGGACATCTACTGTATGATGTTGTGTTGCCGTGCCAAGTCGTTGGGCTCAGTGGCTTTGGTTACCTTTGAGTGCTTTGACTTCCCTTCAACTCCCCTTGTGATGAGAGTGTGTCATGCTCAATACGATGGCCGCTTCAAGAGGCATACTGTTTTGATGGCTAAAGAAATCAGTCGCTGCCCAAAGTGTCTATTAGTGAGGTAACGATATAACGAATTTCGCCTCAGACAATCTAAGAATTTCAGACCTGATTCTGTAATTTTGGTACGAGCTTGCATCTTGCACTGGCGAAGCGGCGACAGTGCGCTTGTGGCCCCGACGACTCAGAGGCGAGAGTGAGCATTTGTTATTGCACGCAGATGTGCGCGAGGCCGGCAGGCGGGCCTGTGCCCCATGAACCGGCGTTTGCACCGTTCTTGTCACCGCAAGCACATGGGTGGATGTGCCCCCCCCCCCTCCGAACAAAAAAAAAAAAAAAAAAAAAAAACTTCTGTATTGGCAGTGCCACACTTATAGTTAGCATCCCATATGTGAGGACACGCTAAATATGGAGGATGCTTTGCTACTATCACAATAATAATGCAGTTTTTTACCACTAAATAAATGTTTTGTGCTAGCTTTGCTCTCAGTTCCCCTTTTGTTTAATTTCTGCATTTATTTTTTGAATTTTCATACTGAACCTGCATATAACAAACTCCTCTTTATGATAAACTTTTCCAGGAATCGGCCATTTTCGCTATATCTGGCTTTAAATGTAACATCATGCAGAAGGATGCGAAATACCATGTTTGAAGACATCGTCTGAAAAATAAACGCACTTTTTCATGCATCCGCAGGCTTCTAGTTACTTCAACACCCTACTTTTTCTGCTCAATGACAAAAAGTCCCGTGTCGAGTTTTATTATTATTCTGAATGCAATGAAAAGACAGCCTTTTCACTACAATTAGGGTCCCTTTACAATTGTGTACATAAAGTACTGACACACCTATGGCCTTTCCAGCTGGCCGCTTCTCATTCGGGTAGAGCTGATCTCCCTCAGGCCATGTAACGTAGAGCTTTGAGGGCAACCTGAAGAAAGAAACAGATGCAACAAAATGAAAGTAGGCCTGATTTTGACATAACTTGCAGTAAGTGCATTGGTACTGCATATATCAATTTTCCAAAAAGCCTGAAAAAGCGTGATGAGCATGCCTAGTATGCTAAGGTGTTTTACTAATAAGGCCTGCAAAGCATTCACTAGCAGCCCGCAGCTTCACACAAAACAAATATTTGTTACTAAGCTAAACAATGCTTGCATTATTTTCTCACCTATTACAAATAATCAGCCATTTTATTTTTTTGTGAGACACCGCACGCAATCACTGCGAAATTAGATGTCACAGAGGAAGGAGAACTTTATATTTCTGTATCTTCCAGATTTCAGTCATTGTGAAGATTACTAATCAATGCGCTTCTTGAAACCGGATGCAAAATAAAAAATTACCTTTATAAGAGAAAGAAAAAAAGCGTCTTTTCAGATGGTAACATTCGATGATATTTTGCCCTGCATCATTTATTTATATGGTCCAATGCATAAAATATACTACTGTGAAGGAAGTAACTGCATAAAAACATGTACAGTTCTCCTTTATCAGAAATTAATATTGTCACGGGGTCGTGACGTGGCCGAAGACAGGAGACTTTGCGTTAGAATTCAACTGTTTATTTCGGTTAACCTGTGCCCGGTAAACGGAAAGTCCGATTACAGTAGCAGTCTTCGACTGATAGCGGCGAACAAAGCGTCGGCCGTCGATCAACTACTCACAAGCGGCGAAGCGCGTCGGCATTTATACTCTTGACGTTGAATGTTCTAGCATTATCGCTGGCGGTGGCGCAGGTTCCAGAGTAATCTGTACAGTTCGCAGAGTAGGCGTGATCTTATCGAAATGATCTACTACAGTCCGGAAGCTTCTCGAAAACTGCAGGCGCGTTTTGCGCTCAGAATTGTGTAGTGTTTTGGGACGATAACAAAACTTGGGAAATGAAATGTGGCAATATAACGAATAACAAGTATTAAATATTCAAACAATATAGCAGTATTTTAATTTTCTTTGATTCAAATGTAAATTATAGGAATTTTCTAAGTATTCAAAACGAATGAATAGTTGTATACTAATCTGCATGTAACTTACCTGTAAAGGTGGTTTCACTGCATTTGAGGAGTGCTAAACCGCGAAAACACCTGTCCGAGAATAATAGGCCCTGCCGCAAAGTACCTCATCAAGGTAAAATGAACATATCACCCCACATTTATTCATTTTTTAAGTTTAAAATTTTGCTATTATATCAACTTGCATGCTGTAACCATGGTAAATTTTGAAATGTAACATATTTTATAGAGTACCACAATTCTTATTGACAGTCAAATCCTGCTACCATTCAAAGTAATTTCCACCTTTTTCGAACCAAAAAAATGAATGGCATTCAAACAGGCCTTGTTTAAATATTTAAAAAATACTGTGCAGATTGATTTGGCCATGACAAATATGCTAATTTTTCGTTATGCTGTGTGATATACAATATTCGAATTCAATTAAAAAATATTCCAACAAAATCACTCTAACCTAAAGGTCACTAGTTTCACAAGCAATATAATTGAATAGGTGCTTTCATGGCTTAGCACTCCTCCACCGCAGTGAAACTACTTTTACGAAGGTTACACGAGGACTAATATTCACCTGTTCATTCATTTTGAAAAATTGTGAATAAACTAATTCGTAGACAAGTGAATTTGAATACCTTGATGTTCGTTTGAATATTTATTTATTTGATACTGTCAACCCAGTGGTTGGGGTGATTACTGAGAAGGTGTCACATGATACATATCATTTGAACAAAAAAGAAGAAAAAAACATTCCATAGCACATGAGAATAACACAAATAACCAGCATCAAAAAATAAGAAACAAACTACAGTCATTATGCAAAGAAAAATCGGCTAATAAATGGTCGTGCAGAGAATTTGCATCACTACAGAAAAAGCAGTCCAATGAAAGATCAGTTAGTGTTCCATGTTGTAAAAAAAACACTTGGTAAACTATTCCACATTTTTATTGTGTAAGAAAAAAATGAGTGTCGGAAAGCATTCGTGCGTGCGAAATAGGCCGAACAGACCTAGTGTTATTAAGACGACCACATACCTTCTAGGAGGCTGAAAATATAAGTCCTTGTTTATTTAGCTATGCCCATTTATAATCTTAAAAAAAAAACTTGAAGCGATGTTTGCACCTGCAAAACTTCAAAGACTCAAGCTCACGGGATTTTAACAAAGCCGTGACAGAATGTGTGTGTCGGTATTACCGCATATGAAACGGCCCGCTAATTTTTTGATTCTTTCAATCTTCAAGACTTTCTAGTAAGGTGACCACACAATACTAGCGTACTCTAAGACAGGTCATATGAATGTTTTAAGCAGTTAGCTCTACATCTGGGGTGGCATGTTCAAGTTTTTTCTTAAGAAAATACAGTGTTTTCTTTGCCTTTGAACAGGTGCTATCTATATATGCGTGCCATTGCAATGTGTGCATAATACTAACTCCTAGGTATTTGAAACAAATGGCATTATTTAAAGGGTGATTTTCGATGTGATACGTAAATAACAGTTCCCGCTGATCTGAGAGCATGCAAGTGGTGATGTTGTCCTTGCTATAGCTTATTTCCATGTCCCATTTTTTACACCATTTTTTTTTTACAAAATTCGACGCATTCAATCATTTGTGCAAGCCTAAACTCTAGGTTTACGGTGGAATGTACCACAGATTTCCTATTACTTTATGTAATCACTTGCCCATAACAAGAGCCTTTACTGCAAATGATAAAACACATGGAAACAGTAGGCCTTAATATAGCAATACTCACCTTCCTTCTTCTTCATCAATTATCTTCTGCAGCATGGAATCGGTGACCTTGCGATCCAACTTTGCTAGTGGGAAGATCTTCACCTCATCATAGAGTGATCTCGGCTCCTGAAGCAGAAAACCCCTCCCAAATTCATTGTTGCAGAATTTGGTTGAAAAAAAAAATTCATGTAGGCACCACTCACATTAACGAGAAATATTAATATGTACCCACTTGGAATGCACTAGTGCTTAAAAGCATAGAAGCAATGAATCTCCAACAGGGTCTCCTCACTAAGTACAATCAAACCTGTTTATAATGAATTCTACAATGCTGTGAAAAGTGGTGATTACATCAGGAGTTCGTTGTACATAGATTCACCCTTCATAACATGTGCAAATTAACAACCCAGGCATTTTTTGTTTAACACATTAAGCTGGGCTAGTTGGTACCGATTGAATGCTCTTATAATACTGGCCAACTTGCACAAGTTCACACAAAAGCTGCAAAGAAAAACTCGGGACAACCACTGGACTTCAACTAATTTTTAATCATGATAAAGGACAGATATATATACATTATTGAGTACAAACATCACAGCACTGCTACTTGGCAATCGTTATTAATATTCCCGATGTCTAATCCACCTTTTCGGCAGCCTATGTGCTCAATTGAGAAATCTCATTTTATGTGAAGCACCATTTCACCAGACTTGGTACTTGAACATGCACTTGGACCCAACTCTTGTTTTTCATAAGAGGTGTTATAAGAGGTGTCTTAATTTTTTATATGAAGTATGAATACAATAAATCTAATAAGAGGTGTTTTTATAAGAGGTGTCTTGTTTTCTGTAAGAAGTATGAATGCAATAAATTTTGCAGCTGTTGTAGAGATCAGTGACATGCGCCAACTAAGGAAAGCGATCATATAAAAGTAATGAATACAGTAATACCTCGTTAGCTCAAAGTCGTAAAAACCAGAAAAAATTTCAAGATACAAATTTTCGAGATGAGCAAAGTTGTACTAATTTCTTGATCACCACAATTTACCGGCTGACGCTTCTTGTGCAGGTTTAAAAGATAAATATTAACATACAAGAGATTTAAACCGGCTGAATTTTTCCAGCTAAATATGCAAGGCCACGGTGTCTGCCTTTTCTATTATTATTGCTGAAGTGACAGGAAGGTTGGCCGCTCTGGCATTTCGCAGCCATACCATGACCGCCGCTTCAACGTCCGGAAACATTGACCCTTGAATCCACTTCTGCTAGGTGGAGAAGCTCGGCTCAAATCCATCCAGGACCTTCTGCTTGTTTTTGAGCACTGTTAAAAGCATAGACAAAGGGATGCCAAATTTCTGCGCGGTGCTAGATTTCGTTCGGCCTCCTTTCTCCACTTTCTTAATTTGGGGCAACCTTTTTTTCTAGCGTTAGCGACTCGCACTGCTTTGACGCCATGATTGCCGCACTCATGCTAAGTTGCTGCTCCACACAGTAAGTGAAAAATCCATACCACTTAGTTTGTGCAGATGAATGGAAATCACACCTGAAGGAAACTCATGTTCACTGCACAAAGCGAACGAGACAAAGTACGCCAAGCATGCGCAGAGGGCCTCCCTGCTCAGTGCATGTGTCACACGACGTGCCACAGGGTTGCTTGACAAAGTTGATATGTCACTGGGCTGAGACTTCACACACTTTGTTTGCGGAAGCATTGACGTAGTGACAGGCCCGGCTAAATAAGAAAAAAAAATCTACGAACTTCAGGCATGGCAGCATCGCGCGAATCTTGTGAAATGGTCCGGCGGCGCATTTTTCGTTCCACTCCCGGTCAAGATTTCGAGTTATTTGCAATCTGACCTAAAAATACCTCGAGATAAAGGACCGTATAGAAAATAGGGATATACATGGGACATATAGAAAAATGGTCAAGGCCATAGAAAATTTAGACATAGCCAATATTTTGAGATATGCGAGCTTGAGTTACCGAGGTAATGCTGTATTTTAATTGTTTATCATTACATTCCTTCTAGTATGGCTTTCAGTGCAGGATAAGGCTAATTATATATTCATATGTCAGATGCAGTGTCGTCGATAAACCACTACCACCTGCACGTTTCTTTATCACTTGTTAGCAAGCCTGGATGTACTCAGCCACAACTCACGTCGGGACTCACGTGTTTTTACAGTCTATAAAAAGGTCAAGTGCCAATCAATAAACAGCTCAGTTTGTGTTGCTATTACGTTGCGTCACTTCAGTTGCGACGAGGATGAGATCGAGGCCGCCAGAGTTTGACGAGACATCAAGCGGCTGGATGCCTACCGGGCTGTGTCTCGAGGCCTACTTTGAAAGCAACAATATCACGGATTCCTTGGTAGCATCACTCAGCGACAGCGTGGTTTAAGTCATTCAGAAACGATGCCCATCGACACCCGTAAACAGCCTAACGTACAAAGACGTCGCCAAGGTGTTGGAAAAGCACTACAGCCCGCAGGTGAACGAGACTGCGGCAAGTCACACATTTTTTGTGTGGAGGCCAGGAGACAACGAGACGATCAAAGATTTTGTCGCAGACTTGCGACATCTTGTAAAAGACTGCAACTTCGGCAACTTTCTGGACAGAATGTTACGTGACCGAATAGTGTGCGGCATATGGGATGACGAGCTCTTGCTGACCCAAAGAAAGCTGACTGCAGGAAGCTGAGAAATTCGTCATATCGTCAGAAACAGCCGATCATAACGTCCAGTCAATAAAAGATACAGATCGCGAGAACGATGCCGGTAACGTGCACCTGGTTCAAGGGTGCCGTAGCAGCGGAAACAAAGTGGACAGAGGCAATGCCGCTGAAAACAGCTACCACAAACACAACTATTCACTTGCTTGGGGAAATGTTTGCTTGTTTTGGTATCCCCCACTGTGTGGCTTCTGACACCGGCATCCAAATTTCGAGCGCAAGGATAGCAGAGTTCATGCATGAAAATAGCACATGCCATGTCAGGACGGCCCCATGCCACCCGCAATCAAATGGACTAGCGGAGCGAGCCGAGCGAACAATAAAAGAGACCCTCAAGAAAAACAAGCACAGCCCATTGCAAGAAAAATTGTCTTGTTTTCTGTTCCGTTACAGATCTACGCCTTTCGCGAGTGGCAAATCACCAGCACAACTGCTGCTGCTGGGATTCAAGCCCTGGACAAGGTTGTCTACCCACTTTCCAGCAAGGAAAGTGTCTGCAGAGGTTGAGGCTACCCGAGAATAACCTTTGTCGGCTACAATGCCACCACTTTTCCAACCCGCAAAGCCCCTCTATTCCCGCCAATTTTAATAAGGGCAGAAATTCAACAATGGCAGACATTTGATAATTTTATTCATTGGAAAATATTTAAAGATAAAAAGTACTTAATTTCATTCCTGACAAAATTGCTATCCAGAAGCCACCTTATAAACAGCTATTGGTGAAGCAGTTGGAGAGGTAAGTTTTTCTAACAAGCTCGTTCTCTCAAAAAATGCAAAAAAAAAAAGAGTTTAAAGATTTCCAAATGTGCTATCTGTTTAGATGGTCCAGTGGTCTGTTGCATAGATAAAACTTTCTTCTTCAACATCATAAAGCTGTTATGTGACAAATGCTTCTATTTGTCTCTTTTTTAAATTTTTTTGCAGCTCGAGTGTTAGTCACAATGGTGTTGGTTCAAATAAGAACCTACCACTGATCACCATGACTTCACTGAAGAGAGAACGGAAGATATGCCCCTCGGAAAACTTTTTCTTCGGATGTTTGTGACGGCTTCATAAAACTTTCACAAAGCTCGAGCTCCTCTTTTCAAATCTGATGTTATTTTTTTTACAGCTCATTTGGTTAATTTTTTGCAGACCATGCTTTTTTTGTGCAAGCTTAGACAACAATAGTAGGCACAAGAAAACTTGTGCTCTAAAAAATAAGCAAATGTTGCTCCTAAATTATTGAGGAATTCAATAAAGCAAAGAAATACTGAGTAAGATATGTGTGCTGGCCTAGAAAAAAATTCTAATTCTGAGTTTCAGTTTTATCACACTCAAGGAACAATCTTTTGAAATTATCTAGCAGCATATGTTTTTGAGCACTCTCAAAGTTGTTTATTTGAATACAGGACATGTTAAACTTTTAGCATGCCAAATTTCATTGCAGTCCAACCACATAAAGGGCACAAATTTTAGTGCACAAACTCTAAAAATGCCGAAAAATGAGGAACTGAAAAATACGGGTCTGAAAGTTCAAAAACATGTTTAATACTATACTCTTCAACGAATCTGCATGAAATTCACACAGAATGCCACCAAGGCTATCTAGAAAAAGTTCACAGTTTCAGAATGACCCAGCACCACAGGTTGGACCCTGAGAGTTTTGGTGAGCTGCCTCCACTTGGCAGGCTTTTTTTTTTGGGGCACTGCGGCAATAGGCCATTGGTCTTTGGCTTGTGCGAGGTTTTCGGCAGTCGGATGCACTTTTTTGCCAATGCGAGTAAAATTTTTGTGGTGCACTGGCTTTTGAACACCAAAGATTGCACGAAACCGCACAAGCTGCTCATCACAAGCTGCACATGTCTGACGCCGACTGCACAACGCGGGACCACCGACTTCACGTTCACGGCGACGCTGTCTTGTGCACTGCCACTGGTGGACATCTCCTCGCTTCCATTGCATGACGAATACGCGAGACTTGATGTGTACTTGGACGAAACAATAGTTGCAGCACATGGCTCATTTCGGTCATAAAGTTCCGACAACGGTGCCAGTCCTTACAGTCTACTTGCCGATTCTCGAGCAGACAGTTCGCACTGCCCGCAGTTGGGGCATACTGCGCCGCTGACTATGTTCTGCATCGCATCGGTCTCACAAATAATTGTACTTCCGCGTTCGTCCTGACGCTTGTTTTCATCATTGAACTTCTTTATCTTGAGCACTGACGAAGTCATCGACATTATGAATGAAGCTTGAACAATCCAAATCGTGTGCATCGCCGCTGCCGCAGCCAAGTCTGGCAGCAGATGAACCTCTCATCGCAGAAGCTCACCGCGTTCGGGCCGTCTTCCCTTGTACTGGTGCCTCGTCATAAACTTCCGTGAACCAAACTCCCGTTTCTCACCTGTATCCATGGCAAAGAAAAACTAACTCAAGCGGTTCTATTCGCCGACACTTCGGCAAAAGCAGGAGAACGAAGAAAGAGTGCATGCGTACTGCTGCACGGCAGAATACTCGTAACCAATGGCAAGGCTTTGATTGTACCACACGACTTCAAAGCCCTACTCACCACGCTGGTATGCAGTGGGGAAACAATGTCTTTTGTTATATTTTCAGTGATAATGCAGCGCTGTCAAAGTGGGCTCTGGGAGAGGAGGGTTAGGCCTACATGCCTTTGAAATTTCAAAAGCCGGCTATGCCGCAGAGAGAAGTGCCATGTGCGTGAAAATCGATAATTCCTCACTTTCGCGAGCCACCACAAGTGCTTTAATTGTATTTTTTGATAACTTCTGGTAGATTCTCAGCTGTGATTATTTAATGTATTAAGAAGAAGGCTTGAAGGAATACAAAAGACAAAACAGATTTTAAAAAAAACGCGCTTTTCCAACCCGCATCTCCCTTTAAACGGATAAGCATCCTCACATGCAAACACAGCAGGAATAACTAAGGATTGCTGCAAAACCATTGAGGAATGCCCACGGAAGATGTTTTCGCCAATGCAACCTTAGCTCTCGCCGCAGTTAAGAAGTGCCTTTTTAGTTTATTGTTGTGCCCTCTGATTTTGTAGATGGAGGGTCTGCCATGACTAAGAAGCACAAAAAACAAACGCTCTAACATGGGCACTCACTCACCCATTTGGCAGACGGGTTTCAGAGGCACTTCACCTCTGAAAAAAAACTCTCTCAAAACAATGAGGTGATTTACCTCCGTCAGATCCTTCTGTCTCCCGATTAGCAGAGGTTTTGCTGTGGGAAACACCGGCGCACACTGCAAGCTTCACCCCTGGTTTCATGTTAGTGAAGACCCCATGCTTCGCCCCTTCCTATAATCGAGTTGATGGCAATGCTCTACACCATGCATACATGTCATAAAACAAATTTCACCCAGAAGTTAATGCAATTAGGTTATGTTAGATTGAGTTGTATAAGCATAACATGAGCCACAATTGTTCAGACACGTTCCGAATGCAAGAGCAGCCAGAACTGAGATGAACCATGCATACCTGCTGTATCTCCACCTCCCCTCCTGTCGCGCAGACACTCTCGGAGTAGTCACCATATAAAAGGAACCTTCGAATTGAGCCAATGATGATTGGGTTTGTTCGCTGTGTCCTGATCTGAAACCCAACAAGACCGGTACATTTAAAAAAGGGGCAGCTGTTGGCTTACACATGACAATATTTGAAATAGCCTTAAAAGGCTCGGATTCACAGTGGTTAAAGAATCTAAGATTAAACTTGCTGGGCACATTTGCCCTGCATACTTTCATCATTTCTTCAAGACACAAGGCCTGAAAGTTTGCAAATCTACTACATTTCTTGCCTCAAGCACCCATTCGCATTTTCCACATTTAGTGACTCCACAGTGTCATGACATAATGACTGGTTAATTTGCAGCTCAAATGAATGACGACACAAGAAAGGCACACTAGCACAAGCATACACAGCACTGAACTACCAAAAGTTTTTTATTATCGAATACCACCTTTTGGTTAGAATGACTACATGTAACAGAATAATTATTCATACACGGGAAAAACTGAACCACTAATTACACATTGTAAACATAGCCATATCCAAAAAAGTTGATTCAATGTATTCGAACTTACAGGCCCTTGCCAGTTGCACGTCCAAATGTCAATCATGTTCAACAAGACTGATGTGGGGGTGCAGCCTCCGAAATAGAATTAAGAGCAATTTATGGAGTAGCAAAATCTTACTTTTGGAGCACTAAAATTCAAATTTGGAGCAGGTTATGAGAAATAAAACATCTAATTTTTATCATAAAAGGCCAAAATTTGGATCAGTATAAAAAAAGAAGGCTTACATTTAGAAAAAGAAAAATACTATGCGCAAGCAATTCAACATAACCTCAATCTTGCAGAGTAAACATGAGCACTGCTAGTTCAATAAAACTAGTATTTCACACCACCACACTGAGCAGACAATGTTAAAGTCCCCATTAGTGTTTCCAGCATCTGTAAAATCCTTTGACAGAATCCTTCAATACGAATGTAGATCTGCCAAGCTGGCGACCTTGAAATTGAAGGTATTCGTCAAAGTAGGGGTGGCAAAACAAGAACCTAACGCATGGTCCTTGTTGTTTGTTTGTTTAGGGCAGCACAAGTGTCATACACTGCTCCAAATGATTGCCAGTACCTATGTCAGCCATCATATTAGTCCTCACAGTTATGCGGTTGTAATTGAATGAAATGTTCTGTGTCCCATGAGCAGTGCATACCTGCCAAGTTCAAGGATTCTGAACGCGGGAGATTTCCGCAACGGGGAGAGAGGGGGGGGTGCGCATCGCACAAAAAAAAAAAACAAGTACATACAAACAAACAAAAAAACATCGCGAAAAAAAAGGGGGGGTGGGAGGGGGTCTCAATCGCAAGCGCCAACATCAGCGTTGCGGTCTTATAGTGGCTAGGAGTGGCCGAACACACGAGGGTAGAGTTTTTCACTAAGGTGAGAGTATCAAAGGATCAACACAAGAAGCATAATCTATTTCAGTCCAGACAACTCGCGTATGTCTTCCTGAGAAACACATGAATGGACGGGACGGCGCAGCTGGCTGCTATAAAAGCGCGGGTCAAAGCTTTGCTCACTATTATATTCTTTTGACGGGAAACGCGTCTGGCCCCTTTTTATTGCGATAGCAATTATATGGACAGTCCAGGCTGCTCTTTTTTTTGCCGTCGCCAACACCGCCGTCTTTCGCAGTATATGTATACGTATCTATATATATAAACACTCAAAGAAAAAAAGCTGCCGCGCTCGGCGCCGAGCTCGTCGCGATGTGCCGACGCGTACTTATCTCTCACGTGTACTTTGCCCCATGGATTGATGCCTGTGCGTGCGCGCTTATCCTTTGGTGGGAGAATCGAGTGCCTTTGGCATTTCACTGAAACGAAAGCGTTAGTCGCCGGGCCCACAAAGGTCACTTTGGTCCCTGCACGGGCCCCTTTTGCGAAAACAGCGCGCTTTTCATACACAGCGAGACATAACAACTGGGACATTTGTTAGTTTGTACTTATCTGTACCTTTGGTTACGTATCGTGCATCGTTTTTGTTTAAACAGCACGTTACGTGTCGAGCGGTAAACGATGTTAGTTTGCTTTCATCCTGCAAGTATCGTTTTTGTGTGTGAGCAGCACGCGGTACGTTTCGATCTCCTTGCTGTTCTCAGCGTTACACTCCAAGTTGTTGCTGTCGCATTTATGCTTCGCCCTTGCGGCGAAACTGAAACTGCTTTTTTTTTATTTTTACGTATTTACTGCATCTAACCTACCGTTGCGCGCCCTCGGAGCTCGTAGGTGGCTATCGCATCGCCGCGACCGCGGTTTTGTGCGCAGCGGTGGCGGAAAACTGTAGTTAATTTTACAATCCCCATGCGTTTGGCTGCGAACGCGCCTTCAAAACTAAGCCATTTTATGCCATCTACGTTAACATCTGCCACAGTTTTGTCCACAAAGTTTGCGGAAAGTAACGATGCTTTGACTGGTTCAGTGCACATTTTCGGGGTTCTGTCAGTTACGACGTCGCCACACATGATCGTGTCAAGGGCGACCGCGGTTTCGTCTACAGCGGTTGTGGCAACGATAATCACACGCACTGTAGAAGGCGGTGCGCGTGCTGGTCACCTACACGCGTACTTCCAAAGCTTTCAGTACGCTGCTATCTGCCTTCGTACCGCGGTTTGCGTACTAAATTTCTTATCACCCGCCGCGATTTCGCATCACTGATACTATACTGTATGTTTACATGAACGCCTCTTATACTCATTTTTAATAAAATGGGGTAGATCCAAAAATCCTAGAGCGGATTGAGCTGCTTTTTTGAAATGCGGCCAGATCACGCACCGAAATTTCGATTTCCGGGAGATTTTCATGACAACCGTACAACCGGAAAAAACGGTCGAAATCCGGGAGGCTCCCGGCCAATCCAGGAGACTTGGCAGGTATGGCAGTGCTAGCAACACCTTCCAAATTATAATATGAGTTTCCGCAGGGCAAGGGTGTATTGCGGCAAAGATGGTTTGAGCAGCGTTCTGCACAGGTTAGAACAAGGCAAATAAATTTTCGAACACCGCCCCGCCACACTCCTCCTCTTCCTTTTCTTTACAATGTGGCTTAGTTAGGTTAGTGCACATCTCAGCTCACTTTCAAGGTGCATTTTACCAGATAAAGTAAAAACAGTGCAGCCCATTGGTCAGGTGAGAGCACCACATATGTATCACCAGGACGACGCAAATATAGCAACTTCAAGACCGAAAAATGTGCCATTGTTATGGTGACCAACATGGTCGCCAACAACGCCGGCGTTCACAGCACGTCGACTCTGTTTGCGCGCGGAACACGAGGTATGCACTCCTTGCTCTTGTTACTATGCCATAGCTGGCTTTTCTGACTAGGAGATTCATATTTTTCGCGAAGCGTTGGTGGCTACAGCGACACATTATTGTCTTGAAGTTTCGTTGTCCCATTGATAGGTATCCGCTGCTTGTCTTGAAGTTTCGTTGTCCCGTTGATAGGTATCCGCTGCAGTCAGCAGACTGATGGGCGCACGGCTTTGTTACTTCATCTGGTCGATCGCATCTCGCGAGGGCCCTGACCTAACAAAATTAAGGTTACCATGGTTTAAGATCAGCGGGGTTCAAGTTTTTTTTTTTTTTAAGGTTAGCGTGATTAGGTTATCAAGGTTTAAAGTGAGAGCCTGCACACTTTAATTGCCCCGCCGCGGTGGTCTAGTGGCTAGGGTACTCGGCTGCTGACCCGCAGGTCGCGAGATCGAATCCCGGCTGCTGTGACTGCATTTCCAATAGAGGCGGAAATGTTGTAGGCCCGTGTGCTCAGATTTGGGTGCGCGTCGATGCGACCACTCTCTTGCGTAGATGAAGCAGAAGCTGCCCCACAGGTACCGTCGGCGCGATCACCGTCGGCACACGTGCGAGCGGAGAGCCTCGCCGCGCGGACAAGCTTCATAGCTCGCTTTCTTGCACCGAACGATTGTAGCGTCTTCTTTTTCATTGGGCGCATCGTGAGCGAACACAACAACGGTCTCGTATAGACGGTTGAAAATCGTCTCGTAAAGACGGTTGAAAATCGTTTCGAAGACAGTTGAAACGTGGAGAGTATGCGAACAGCTGCAACGATACACGGAAGCGAGCGGAACACAAAGACGCCGGACGGAGGAGCAGCAGACGAGCGGCCGCATCGGCCGCATTATGCGCAAGAGCGCTACGTCATCGCGCGCAGCAGCCAATGGCAGCCGCGGGCTCCCCCGCGTCCTTGGGGAGCGCGCGCTTCGCCCAATCCCAGCTGTGCGCCTCAGCCGCGGGAAACTTGAAAGCTCTCGCGAGCCCTCCAATCATGAGCGGCTTGCTCCTCTCCTGCGCTGCCGCCGGCAACGCAGGTGGCGGGGAAAGAAAGAGCAAGAATTCACAAACAAAACAACACCAAAATGGCGGCACTCCGTTGAGCGGTCGAGAAACTGCGATCACGCCAAGTTGGGGTATTTTGAGCGCTCGCGCGCCGCTCGAGGACCGCCGCGGCATGTTTCAAACTTTATTTCAAATGGTTTCGCGACGAATTAGACGTTGATATTTACAGAAAAGGTAGTTTATGACACATACTGCCTGAATATGTGGTTTTTGAAAAACCACATTTTTGGGTTGTATGTCTCAAAAACTACCTATTCTGTAATTATCAGCATCTAATTCAACCGCAAAGTGCAAAAAAAATACTAATTTCGAGGCCGCCGCGGCGTCCAAAACAGGCGCGAATCCCGAAATCAAACCAAACTTCGCGCGCGCTCCATTCCCGGACCATGCGGCCGTCCCGCGCCATCTTGGTGTTGTCTTGACCGTGAATTCTTTCTCTCTCGTTCGCCGCCTTGCAAAATGGCGTCGGCAGCACAGTTGAGACGCTATAGGCGTTTTCCCGCGATGCGATGCGGAGCGCTGATTGGCTAGAGCAGCGCATTCATATCTCGCGGGAGAAAGCGTGCCCGCCATTGGCTGCTGTGCAGCAGCGGGGGCGGTCGCTCCTCTCGATGGCGCTTCCAGCGCGCTCGATTCATTGTTGCTCTCTGCTCCGTCCGCCTCGACAGACGTCTGC